AGGCAAGGGTTCAGTTCCATCAAATCCTTACAGTTTTCTGTAAAATTTTAAGTAAAAGGTGTACTCTAATTAATAAACTTAATATAAATATTCTTTATTTTTAACTGAAACATAGCTACAGATAAAAAATAAATAATTAACAGCATAATTTCTCTTCGAGTATGCAATCATCTAGTAAATAAATAATTATTTAAGTCTAAGTTTATACAGTCTAACCTCCAAAACAACGGCCACTGATGAGAACATAAGAAGTGGCCGTTGTTTAGAAGTTATTTTGTATGTAATTTTGTTTAGAAAACAAAAAAATAGGTCTCTGAAAAAATGGCCGCTGTTTAGAAGTGGTTCAGCTGTAAGAAAAATTTTAAAATAATTTATTATTTTAATTTATATAAATGTATTTTTTTCTAATTTATTAATTTATTCAAGTAAACAATATCGTAAAAATCCCCTTTGTTGTATTTAAATAATTAAATAAATGATTAAATAAGATTAGAATAAGTTTCGTTTATATTTAAAGAGCATTAAATAATTTATGCATGGGATTTGCCACAAAATTTGTTCATTAAACAATTGATATAGATCACTAAACATTTGCTAATTACCTGTAATGAAGGCAGAAAGAAACTTAATATATATTACAATCTCACAGGAGGATTATACGGATCTGAAGATTAACTAAATCTCCATCACACACCATTAGTCTAACATAGGACTTCAAATGTCTTACAGCTTATCAGCATTGCATTTTCACAAGATTTTTCGATTTAAATTCAGTAAATAAATGCAGATAATTTTAAAATAGAATAAAATAGCGGTAAACGAGTACTTAATCAAGTTTTCTGAGCTTTTCAAGTTCAAATTATTGATTTATTGTAGACTTAAATAGTAACCAATAACCTGACTTAACGTTAGATTAAATGTCCTTGTTTGTTAATAAATCAATACTAAACTTAACCAAATCAAAGAACTTTCGTGTTTACTATAACTTGATATATAAATTAAAAGATATTTAAATTAATTCATGAATTTCGATGATAGCAACTGATTTATAGTTGACTCAAGTGAGATATGTAGTTGGCTGGCATTTGGCCAACAATATAACATTCAGACGAGTTTTTAACTGTTTTAAAGAATATATCCTATATAATTTTAAATATATTATCTTAATATTTTATCTATGTATATAGATATGAGACAATTATACTGTAAAATTGTTTAAACTTTAAATTTAATTATTTACTTTTATTAATACATATAAAACTTTTATTTACATGAATTTTACACACTATACATAATATAGAATTCTGTTAATTGTATTAAAAACCTGTAAATAATTATTGAGAATTTCTGTAGGAAAATAAGCATTAAATCATGGGTTAAATGGGTTGGATGGGAATTATGGATATGGGGTGTTGTTGCATTGTAAGACAAATAAAAGTAAAAAAAATGTCTCAAATGCAACGAAGTTTCTTTTATATTTTTTAAATTAATGCACACTAGACTACTTAACTATTCATAATTCATTCTGATACAAAGAAATTTACGTAAAATATTAAAATTTTACATAAACTTATAAACAAATGGAACATATATAAAATTTTTATTATTTACGTGACTTCAATCGACGTTATTAAAATTTTATCAACGAAACTAAATTCTTAATCTTATTTAAGACATTTTCCCCTTAAAAAAACAACAGTTTATTTAAAAATCTAAGTTCATACGTTAATTTTTTTAAATGTCTGACTGTCACTCTATATTGCGAGAAGTTAACATCGTGTAATGGTTAATTAATATTGTTTCTTCATGCGTAAATACTCTAGTTTATTTTTTTTTAATTAGTCACTTAAAATAGTAATAATAAAGTTTTATTTTCTTTAATTAAACTTTTTATTGTCAATGTATAATTATATTAATAANAATCAATTTTACTGTATTTTCAATTAAAAAAAAAAAGATTTAATAACATATATTATATAATCTAAATAAGTGATTGCTACTATACATTGCTATAAATCATTTAAAGGGGATATCTAAATTTAATAAAAACATAAAATAAAATACATACCAATTAATTTTTCAGTATAATAAATTGATATTATAATGTGTAATTACAGAATTAAGTTAGATTTTCAAAAGTAAAATAGTTTCCCTTTTGATAAATTTTAAAACAGATATAACCACAGAATGAATCATAAAGGACAAAGCAAAGACAGGTTTACTTTTCAAAACAACTTTCATGGCTATAATTATGAAATAACTAAAACAGCTAAGATTTTAATTAGGATCTTTAAAACAATAAAAAAGCATAGAAGAACCACACCAAAATTTCTAACTTTTCTCAAATGATGAATACAGATCAATAATCATTTTTCATCGGATAATATCCAATAAAGAATATAAATATACATATATAAAAAGAGATTTAAGATACGAAAAGTCTGCAAGATATTGTTAAAAACAATAAGCGAAAAATGAACAAAAAAATAAAAAAAGTGTGTGGCCATTCCTGAAATTGCACGATATCCCATTATGATGAATAGAGGGTTGTTCGTATATATATATATACATATATATATAAACATAAACATACAGTATATTACTTACAGACATAAGCAGCAAGCGTGTTACTGTTTTTCACGTTCTTTAATGTAACTTAAGAAATTTTCAATATCAAAATTTGCAATTAGATGCATATTATTACTACCTATATATATGTGTGTGTTTAATATTTTTATATATGTATTTATATGTATATTTAAACGATTAAATGGTTGCAGCAGAAGAAAATAATTGATAGTTTACGAGAAGAAGGTCTCTTCGCTTCTAAATTAATTAAAGGTGTAAAAAATTTACATAAAGCGCCAAAATATCAAAGAATAGAAAGCCCTAACACCAAATGAAAATACTATTTAACAAATTTATGGCGGACAAGTTTAAAGCATAACTCTGTAGATTTGGGGATCCGGAATCAAATTTAGACGAACGACCACAGGAATTTTTCATGTTGGGCAACGTCCCTGACCACCCGACCCTCATTGTGGTGATGATTATGAATAAAATGCCTTTTCTTGCCCATACAGCATAGTAAAAAAACGAATAAAATAAATTTTTAAAATAAAGAAATAAATTATACCCATTTTATCACGTCATTAATGCTCCACTTTTAATGAATAGATGCGACATGAAACGATATGTAATTTTAAATAAAATAATTATAAAATTTTAAAAACGAATACTTAAATAAAATAATAAATTTTAAATGAGTAAATTAGACGAGTAAAACGAGTAAATTAGAAATTTACTCGTTTATAAAATATATAAAATCTTTATTGAATTGTATGTTCTTTAACAAGATTTCGATCAATAAGAAATGAACTAGTGGACTTTATTCTTCGAGTGAATTGACTAATTTAAGAGAAAAACAAATTAATCCCGTTTTTTCCTTTTCTCTAGAAATAGAAACATGGGATTAAAGGAATTCTAGATAATTAAGGAGTATTCTATAGAAGAGAATCAAAGCCTCTTTCTATTGACAGAGAATTGGATTCTCGAAACGGAATTCCAGAAGACTCTTCAAAAAACCTGTTACACTTCAGATAAATCTAATTGTATTTATTTACTTTAAAAAATATTTAAATAGTAAGTTATAAATTTAATTTAAAAACAAAAGTAGTTTTTATTTTTTAAAACTTATTTAAAATTGTTAATAACGAAACTTTTAATAATGACTAATTCTTAAAAGTAACATTGATTTTGTTTCGTTTCGTATATCAAAATATCGTAAACATAAAATAAAACTATGAAAAAATTTTAAATTTTAAAAAGTGAAAGCTTCATACAGTCAAATTTCTAAACAACGGCCACTGATATAAAGATTTTAAAAAATCCAGTAATGAATTGCTTAACTTTCCCGGCAACATTTAAAACTGCGTGTGGCGCCATCTGTTACGATATATTATTTTAAGAATTTTTTATATTTTTATTAGGCCTATTATAAAATAGCGAAACGCTTAATTTTAAGGATGAAGATGGGTTTTATTTAAAAATTGTAAATACGAATAAGGAGTAAAATCGTAAATAAGTCCTACCCTAAAGGAGATACGACACACGACCCCCTTTATTTCACAACCCTTCGATCTTTAACCACCAAAATTTAATAACAACAATCCCCCTAATACACAAATCTCTTAGCAAAATTTTTGAAATTTTCGACGAAAACACAGGAGTTAAAAATTAGGGGATAATTTCTTGTTCACCTTCAAAGAGAGTGAACAATAAATTATCCCCTAATTTTTTTTTTTTTTTTCATTTCTCGACGTTTCAAGGTTTCCTGAGTTCAAACATTTTAAAGTCTTGGGGGCCATTTTTTAATCGATCGCCTTAATTTCCTTCTGTCATATATAACAACTGAAAAAGCAAAAAAAAAAAATGTTCTTAAAAACGGCCCACTGTTGGAGGTTCGACTGTATATTACATTTTCAAACAGAAATTGCTTCAATATTTAATCGTGTTTACAGTAAGTATTTATATAATTTATTAATTGTTTCGTGCGTTTACAATTACTAATTATTAAATAATCTTTATTTAAACGTCTATTAAACATGAAAATACATTATATAAACATTTTCCAAAACGGAAACAAAATACTTTCAATAATAAAATTATGAATTATTCTTCAGTACAACGCGTTAGAAACACAAAAATACACCAGAGTAACAAATATTTTCATACCTTTAATTAAAGCAATTCACGTTATAAACCATAATGGTTTACTTATAATAAAAATACGCTAATGTACACACAAATTCACGTGTAGTTGATAAATCACGTAATAAAAATAATAATAAAAAAACATTAAAATAATGTTATGATATTTATTAATTAAGTCACAGATTTGATACATGAAGATTCATTTTTACGTGACTTATATATTGGCATTCAATCTCTCTTCACGGTTGCAAAGAAAAGGGGAAATTATGATAAATGATCAGATTGTCATCTCTGTCGGCATGTTAACTTCACTCTGATACCATTAGCGGACCTCAAGACCATTTCTGCTGTCAACTGAAGCTTGTCGCGTTGATCGAGTGAATGCAAATTGTAATGACGCAGTATATTAGCCAATACTAATTTCTCTTCCAGTAAAGCGAATTTTTGCCCTGAAACATTATTTATATCTGTCATTAACTTATAGAAACTGCGAATAAAATTTGTCTTCGAAATTACTTAATTATATTAATTGTTTAAGAAAAAAATAAATTTAAGTTACAAATGAATTTGTAATAAAAGTAAGTAACTTTATTTGTGAAACTATTTTGTTTATTTTAAAATCGATCATTTTTGTGAATAAGATTAAATTTTCTCAATTGCATAGTAAACACGTGGAAATTTTACATTAAATTTGTTAATTTTTAGAATATAAATCAATTATTCAATTTCTTACAATAAAAAAAAACATCTATTTCTACATAATTTAATAAAGCACGTGTTTACAATGACATTTACATAATACAGAACGTGTTTATAATAAAATATACATAATTCAACACGTGTTTATAATGAAATTTACATAATTCAGCACGTGTGTGCAACGAAATTGATTATTTTTATATGAATATGCAGAATTATGTATATTTTATACACAATTCCCCACGTGTTTACAATGAAATAGATTAATTTTTGTGCGAAATAATAAAATAATCTATTTCCTTATAGAAAATTAATCAGTTTCATAATAAATACGTGATAAATTTATGTAGAACTTATTATTTAAAAAAAACTGGATTATTCTGTAAAAAATTTGGTAAATTTATAAAAATTCATAAATAAATAATTGTTATTAAACTTTAAATATATCAATTTTAAATAATACCCGACGTCTTTATAATTATTTAAATTAAACAGAAAATTTTGTAAACTTCACATATATAAATACAATTTCTTTTTGAAATTTATGTAGATGTTTTATGCATACCAATGCAATTCCTTGGTCCGGCAGAAAATGGAATGTATGCATATGGATGGCGTCCAACTGCATTTTCGGGTAAGAATCTATCTGGATCGAAGATTTCCGGATTTGGAAAGATTTCCGAATCTCGATGCAGCATGAAAGTAAAGAGAAGACAGCTGGTTCCTTGGGGAATTTTGTATCCTTCTGTAATAGCTTTGTTGTAAGAGAGCTGTAATTAAATGTTAGAAAAGAAAAGCAGACTTACTGACGACTACGTCTTCTTGCAATTCCCTGCCTATATAAGGAAGTGAAGGATATAATCGCTGACTTTCCTAAAAAAATAATTATTCAAATATAAATTGCAGTTTTTATAAAATAAGCACTGTTTATTATTCAAATTTAAGTAAGTTTATCTAAATAAATTTATCAAGTTTTGTAATCGTATCTTGTATATACATGGTCGTCGAGAGATGGGAATTTTTCCCCTGATTAGAGAAAATTTAGAGGCTTATACTGGCTACTAACCCTATAAATTAATGTTATTTTTATTAACATAAAGTGAAATTGTATAAGACTGCTTTTTATTAATAAAGAAACATTCTACGTATTTCATTTGTTCAAAATAACGTAGCAAAAATGGTCCACTAGAGAACTAGATGGGCTTCTTCTACTCCAGATTTCGTACAAGCTCTCGATGACGTTATGTATGTAGAGGAAATATAGCAACTTTACGTTAAGAATTACAGTAAATTATGAGGTTTCTGACGTTTTGATTATTTTCTAAAATGTTTTGAATTTATTTGAATGTTTCTTATTCACGTTTTGTTCTTATTCGTAGACGGCAACGGGAAACATCGGCGATCTGCCGAGGGAGAATGCCTCCAGGGAGGGCTTTCTGTGGAAAACTGACCACAATTTAGGTGAAAAATCCAGAAAATTCTACGTGGCCAACCAGTTGGAAAGGCGCAAACCCACGATTAACTAGAGAGGTTGAGGCAGACGTTTTAAACGTGTAAACGTGTAGAACGGACGTTCGGTGCCGCTTTCCCGTAAGCCTAGAAGTTTGACGATGGTGTTTAGAATGTCGAGCATGATTCCACCGACTATCCAAACACCATTGTCAAACTTTTAGGCTTACGGGAAAGCGGCGCCGAACGTCCGACCTACACGTTTACACGTTTAAAACGTCTGCCTCAACCTCTCTACTAACTGTCAGAGTTAATCGTGAAAACCACTGACCAATCAGTGTTCTGCTCGGCCACTGGTGGGCACTACCAGTATTCAGCGTTTATACAGTATAATTTTACAGAAAAGAAAATTTGTAGAAAATAAAATATCATTTCTATAAAAATATATGAAATTAAAATAATAAAATTTTGAGGAAAATTTAAATTAGCAATGTATATTACTCGATAACCTTTAAAACGCATTCCATATATTTCATCTCTTTTAAATCTTCAATGGTAAATTCTCTATTCTCATCACCAAAGATCGAATCGATTTCGTCTTGAAGTTTTTTCTGGACTGTTGGATATAATCCTATTAAATATAATGCCCAACTCATTCCAACAGCAGTGGTATCGTGCCCCTAGAAGATATTAAGTCTTTGTTAAATTAATCTTAAAAAATCCCTAACTAAACCTAATTAAACTTTATATATTTACTGCAAACATAAAAGTATCGACTTCTTCTCTAATATTGTCTTCAGTGAAAGTGGAATCGCTCAAATGCTGATACAGTAACAAATCTAAAAATGCCCTTCTTCGTCTAGTGCCAAACTTATTGTTATCGAGTAATTCTTCCATCTCTCTACCCGTTTTTAACTGCTGTAAAAGCTCATTTTTGCGTTTTCTGATTACCTGTATCATTGAATATCAAAGAATTGTACCTCATAAATTTATTGATTTTAAAAAAAGGGGTATTAAATTTAAAATAATTACTTCTTTAGTAAATGCGTCCATAGCATTAACACATCTGATGAATTCCCTACCATAAGAAGACATATAAAAGATAGTATCAGACCATAACCACGGCTTCGTCATTCGAGAGGTAAAGTTTTCTGATGCTCTAAAATTGCAAAACTGTCATCAAAGGCCATATTTATACAAAAATTCGGATATTGAAAGCATAAACTTACTCTTTTAAGGCATTCAAGTATGGAGAATCGTCATTTTCTTGTGCTCCAACATACTCTCCCATTGCAGTCTCTGTTATAATTCATTAAATTGCAAATTTTGCTTTAAAACTTTCAGATTGTTGTTTGATTTGAATTAAAATGCAAGATTTAAAACTTACCACATAAAATATCTAGAGAACACATAGTTATGAAAGGTACTACATCGAAACATTCCTTGCCAATCTCTTCTCTGAGTTTCTTTACAAGTCTTTTAGCATGATCTTCAATGGTGGGTACAAAATCTTCCAAAATTCGAAAATGGAAAGCGGGAGTCAACAACTTTCTTCTCTTTCTCCATTTATTTCCAGAACTAATAATGAAGGATAAAAAATAAAATTTGAAAAAATAAATTTATCAATTATAACAGGATTCATCTAAAAATTACCTCGTGATTAATCCATCTTTAAACCACGGTTTTAGAAACTGATATACGAATGGTTTCTGAAGGATCGTGTTGCTGCTCAAGATAACCTTCACGTTTAAAAAGAATTAATTAAGATTTCATATAAGATTTATGTAATTTATGTATATTTAGGTTATTGCCTCTTACTTCCACAGTTTCTGGTTTGAAAAAAACCACAATTGGTCTCAAACCGAACCAAAATCTCAAAATTCTCCATTTATCGAAGATATGGGTTACTCCGCACAATGCTTGGAAACATACTAAAAAAGAAACAGCAAACTAAAAATATAAAGTAATGAACAGCAGTTATTCTTTACATAAACCATTTCATTATAAATATTGTTAAAATATTAATACTATTGAAATGATATTCATAAAAATCAAATATTATTGTTTTCAATTAGCTGATGAACAATGACGATCTTCGGTTGTGCGAGGCGTTAGGAAGCAAGGTGATACGAGGCCCTATTTATATAAGTTTATATGTTGTAAAGTTCATATAGTTGCTATTTTAAACGGTCTACGATTCTAGTTATTATTGAATTTCGAATATCACGATCAAGTATAATCAAGCATAAACAGGATGGCCCAGAAGTTAATTAGCCGCGATGTTTTTTATGATTAAAAATAGTTAAAATACTGGCCCATCTGTATTTCAGCGTGTATGATGCCATAAAAACGTGGCATACTAATCAAAAGCCCGTCGTGCCCATGTTTTTACATACTTCTTTTGTTCTGTGGGCACTAAGATGACTATTAATTGTACCCATTGTGGATTCGGCTAAACTCACAATCGGGGCAGGGTGGTGAAAAAGGACGGGGCAGACCACTCCAGAAAAATTCAGGGGTTTTTCGATCGCGCGGATTCCATTCCGGATTCCCCATGGTAGTATGACGTCTTATACATACGGCCGTTATAGCCACAGATATTTTTTAAATTTAATGACATATAATAGTTTATCATCGATATCACAATGATAGAAATTATAAATTTAATTAAGCTAAATTGCAGCCGATTTGTACAGTATTCAGCATATATGTATACAGGTCTATCCACTGTACCGTAGGCTACTAAAATTAAGCCATCTTTCACTTTTAAAATATTTAATAAATAACATTTACACGTTTACGCTATTACAAAATGCATTAAAATTATTGTAAAATTAGAAAAAATTTAGCTTTAAATTAATCTAAAATCGTGATAAACTCATCTGTCTGTTGAGTAAAGAAACCTCAGATCGACCCATTTTCTTCCAAAACACATCACGAAAATACTATTTATTTGTTATAATTCCTATAATAAAACATTATTAAATTCTACAATGTCTTAACCTATAAATTTTAAAATTGAAAGTGTTAGAAATTCATTTTATTGAGTGCAAAACATTTATTTTTCTATACAAATTTCGAAATTTTCGTCAAATATATAAGTGAAGAGTGAAGTTGAAGAGGAAATATCTGACAATTAAATAGTGGTGTATGTATCTATTTTAAAAATAATATATAACTTCATTTTCTTTATTCTTTTCGACATTTTTTTTAAATTTATAAGTTGTAGAATGTCATGACATATTTTTGCTTCTACAATCATTATTTGTGTCACTTCTAATTGTATATAAGCCCTACTGCAGTAAATGGGTCAGGTCAATTATTATTCTCACTTTTGTCAGTTTATTAATATATTTATTTTAAAAAATATCATTTTCTTTTAAATATTAATTGAAATTTTCCTTTTTATACTCTAAATTAATTTAACTTAATATTAAATATTAACAACAGATGGCGATATATGTTATGAATTTATGCAAAAGTTACATTATTATAGCTTTTATATTTTATTTAATGAATTAATTAATTTTTATCCTTTAAAATTCTATATTTTTTTCCTCTTACAATTTAGAATGGTTCATACATTGCAGTTACGGAAGATCCTTCTTGGATAATTATAAAAATCAGTCAAACAAGCCTAAATTCAAATGTGAATTGTAACGCAACGAATTATGGTTCTTGGGGAATTTTGATCAATTGTGATCAAATGATCAATTATAAATTAATCAATTAAGAAAACTTACAGGCACGGAGGGACGAAGCAAAAAATGGTTACTCTCAGCATATTACAAAGTTCTAATTGAGCTGAAACATGGCAACGGTATCAGTTACGATACTGAGTTCCTAAATACAACGTTTGGACAGACGATTCTATTCAAGACGTTGTATTTTGGAACTTACTCTAAGTAACCACAGTTTATATCACTAATAAGAACTTACATCAATAAATTTTCAATTGGTAGGAGAAATTACGCTGTATTTACGTGTTAAATCATGTAACACCTGACAACATAGATCAGTCGGAAGACCAGATTCATTAACTTTAAAAACATATACAGACATCTACAACGTTGAATTAAGGAAATGTGAAATTTGATAGGCTACCGAATGGATCATGTTGACTTTATTGATTCAGTAGAAGTGGTATTTGCTAAACGATGATTATGACTGAAACAAGTGTTTGATACCTTCTATTCAAGCATGAATTAATTTATTATTTTAAAAAATACAACTAGCGCATGTAGTAGCAGTTGACTACAATATTTATGCCCCACACACGTCCATCATTCCCATAGATATTGAGGATTCTGTATTAATTAATATTGTAATGTACATTTTTATATTATACTGTACTCTGTTTTGTGGGCGCAGCCAGCTTTAATGAATTATACTGCTCAAATACGGCTTTAAAACGTTCAACTTATTTGAAGTAACGTCATTATAGAAAGCATTCAACAGAAAAACATGTAACAGCTGTTCAGTTTGTTAAATGCCAGCAAAGTAAAAACATAAATTAATAATTTTTTTAAATATTCCAAAATTTAATAAAAATAAATTAAATTTTTAAATATAACTAATTTATAAACAATTATGTTAAACTATTCTTTTAATTATAATAAATACAAAGATGCAGACTGTTTTAAAAGTAAACTAGCCTAACGATGGCCGAGTAGATAAAATAATGAACACTCGTGGGTTCATGCCTATCTACATGGAATTTTTTGGGCCTTTTTTGCGACTTAAACAGAACTAGTTACTCATAAAGTCCTCTTCGGAGTCACTCCTTGGTAGATCGCCCATGTGTTGCCTTGCCTTATATATTAGATTGGATATTATCAAGTTTGTATTGATGATACCATCAATCCAAATGTGAACTAACTCTAAATTATCTCTCGACATATTTATAATGTTATCGATTATTTTATGAGAACGGTAAAATTTACATACAACGCATTTTTATTTATAGTAAATGTAAAGCTAATAGGCTTATTAAAAGTTCTAGTATATAATTTTATACATGGAATTTACGCAACTGTAACCTGTATAAAGGAAAAATACTGTTGGAATCGTTTTCTAAAACAATTTTTCTAGGTTACATCTTGAATAATAATACTGATATTGCAATTTTGATACATTATAATCTTCTTCTTTGATTTCTGATACAGCATATAAATATATTATACCTTAACTACTTAACTTTATTTTCTATTCTATTGTTGTTATTATTATTATTTTTTATATATTTCTACTCGAAATTGTGTCAAAGCAAGACGGTTGGTCATTGTTACGAGGAAGTAGGAAACGTAAAATATTCATGCTTCTTGCTTACAAAGTTTTCCTCTTCTTCAATGCCCTTGAAATTGAAATCGAGAGTGTGTGCAGCTTACCATTACTGACGAATTAATGATTTAAAAATCTCGAAATAATTTAATCGCCAAGAAAATCATTAAAACTAAATTTAATCAATATTTAATGCTGTTTAAATTTTAAATTAGTTCCGTTTAAAGAAAGGTGTTTTGAGGTCGCGCTTGCCACACATACCTAAATATTTTAAGTATAATCTTCAAATTTGCAGAAAATAGTACAAGAGAATTACTTATGGAAATGTCTAAACCAGTATACTATAAAAAAATTATAAATATATGTTGAAAGGGTTATTTTTTGCTTTATATTTAAAAGGTATTCACCTAATTGATCAGGGCCATTATACATTTTAGGAGATATATAAGGCACTGATAGTTTAGTGTGTGTGATAACTCTTTCATTGTAATAATTTACTACGTGTGTGTAAGAAAGAAAATCCTTTCAACATATATTAAATATATTGAAAATGGTTTTACATATATTGAACTTGCTATCAAAACAATCCTAAGTCATGACAGCTTTGATTAATGGGTCATCGATACATTAATTGTACTGTACTTAACAAGGAAGATTAATCAAAAGACTTTCTCTTTCTATGCAATACTTTCCTCACGAGGTAGTTAAAATTGCTATAAATGTTATTTTCCTTTAAAGAATACAAGTTTTTTTTTCTATATTTTAAACTATTTTACGAAATCTATACATGTAAAGAGCCTAAGAGCCATAGAAAGTAGATTTACATTAGGCAGAGTTACAGACATAAAAATATTTTAACGAATGCAGCAGAAAGAAGAAAAGAAAAATTAATTAAGTAGTCCAGTGGGTGAGTCTGTTTAACCTCAAAAGGTCGTTGACTTCAGTTGAAAATTTTACTCCCAAATCTAATTGTTTGAATTTTATTCTTTAAAATGTCGATTTTTGTTCTACATTTTTAGAAATATCTGAAAAATATTCCTGGAGAAATCACTTATAACAACAGGAAAGAGATATAAGTTTGTAATGTACTTTCTTTGTACTGTACTTTTGTGCTTTTTCCATTTTTTGTATCAGTAATTCTATTTATTATGTAGGATGGAACGGGTGGTACTTGATTACAACCCGAAACTAACCTATTCTGCTAAAGTTACGCACCAAAAGTTTGCTTCCGAAATGAATAAATGAGGAAATTCTTGAATTTTTGACGTCTCAAGCCATTAAAAATAATAAAGAAATATGTGAAACTTCTCACAATCTTACAATTGAGACTACACGCAAAAAAGTATAGCTCATAATAATTTATTATTATTCTAATTAAATGTATAATAGTGATAATTATAAAGCTAGCACTTAANTTTCAATTCAAATGTAAAAAAATAAAATTAAATAAAATTAATAACACGTTACAGAGTAAATGTCAAATTTCTCTGTTAATTATTGTAATTATTGCATAACAAAAACTTGTCACGTACTTATTAACCTGTAACAAGTTATTGCTTTAGTAGCTAATTTACTTTATGTCTTTGAAATTTATAGAATTTATTTATTTAAATTCGAGTCGAATTTTCAGTTATTTAATAATAATAACAACAACAAGGAGAAAACAGATGGAGTCAAATATATAGAACAAAAAATATGCTTTAAACATAAGTTAGTATGTTAAAATAACTTGTTATCTTTCACGAAAGAAAATGAAATTTCGCTCTTGAAAAACTTTAATAATTAAAGAGGGATTACTTTTAAATAATTATTTTATATTGCTATAATATTATTATTTATAAGATTATACAGTATCAAACATTGAAATTTCAATCATTAACAAGATTATTTTATATCTACCTAGTTTAAACAACACTAAAAATCCCTGTTTTCTGTTTAAATTTTAAATTTTATTATATCAAAGACGAATAAATCCTGCTAATTTCAAAGTAGAATTGTTAAAAAGTTATATATACAGAATGAAACTGAATGATTCAGCAGCATTTAAGCAACTACAAAATTATATATAATAAAACAATACTTGTAAATATTATAATATTAATATTGGTGTAATTAATAAGTATAGACCTTTTAGAGTATATTTTTTTTATAACTAGAGGTAAATAAAATTTTGTTCTACATATGTACTCTTGCAGTTTATATATTTCATTACTTTGAGTTGAGAATTTATAATTGAAGGAAGTTAAAAATTGAACGTTTGAACTAATAAGGAAGAAAGTGTTTTGCACAAATTTCATTTATTGCGACGGTATCTTCAATTTTACACCTATTTAATTTTATTGCAAAGAATAAGGATTTAACTTATGCACTTTTACTATCGCTATATAATTACTTGCTCCATTTTCCTTAAAAGTCTTAGAAGATAGGACAATGCTCTAACTCTCTCCTTATTAAAATTTAATTAAATTCTTTTATCTGATGAAAATATTTAATTATTTGAAAATGATTTTAATCACGTTATTAAATGAAAGTATTTTTAGAAAGTGAAACCGCAAGAGATTTTAATGACTAAGCAATATAATGAATTACCATAAGGTAAATATTGTTTAAAATTAAATCCAGTATGGTAAGTTAATAGGAAGAAATTAAATTAAGGGCAAGGTTGTGAAGTAATATACTTCCTTCAAGATCTTCAAATTGCTGGAAGGTAGATTATATAACCCAAATACCAAATATTTTCCCTCTTTAGTTTAGTTGAAAGCTTACTTTCGCATTAGATAAATCGGGATTATGTCAGTAGAATGTCGAATCATGATCGTGTTTTGAAAATCATTATGACAAGCAATTTTAAATAGATTTACATAAATATCGTGGCTTTATATTTAATAAAATGTCAGTACAGCTTTTAAGATTTCTTGCAAGTCATTTTTTCACTTGATATAAGAGTTATAGAAGTGATGGGGTGAGACAATGCAACATATGATAGATTTGCCAAGAAGAGATGGACTTTCTATGAAAAACTTGCCCCCTATTTATGGCTTTATGCAGGAAACTGGTCCCTATTCAGGGATTTTCTATGATAAAGTGAACCCTAATTAGGTTTTAAGCATATGAAGAAAGACCGAAAACCTCTAAGTGGCTAACCACCAGTTGGTCAGGCACGAACCCAGGATTCAATGGTTTTATTTAATCGTCCACCGGTAAATTCAGCTGATATAAAACTAAAACAAGTGAAAAATAATAATAAAAGTTCTTTCAAAATTAATTTATATTATAACTAAAACTTTGTAAATTTTCCGTTTCCAAAAATTGTATATATACATATAAACACTTGAAATTTACAGATAATTTAAGAACGTCTAAAAAACTTGATTTTTCTAGAAAATTCTTGTTCATATAAGTTTATAATGAAACAAATTAATCATTAGATACTTCTATAAAGCCACTTACAAAAAAGCAGAATTTAATGATGTAAAGTATATTTAAATTGGTTAGTAAGAGATTTGCATAAATAAAATAATAATAAATAAAATTAATTTATTTTTTCTACATAAAGACATTAAATTATAATATAAAATTTTTAAAATTTATTATTTAGGTTAGTTGCTATTTCACTTAAAAGAATTATTCATTTAATTATTATAAAGGATAATAAATTATTTATATATTTATCTTTTATACTTTTATATAAAAATAAAGTAATCTTACTATCAAAAGTATAATAATTATATTAATTAATTAATTAATTAATAA